CCCCCAACCAACAACAATAAAAAAAAGGTGGGGTTTGAAGAGAAAAATAGCAAGAGGAAATTTTTCATTACAAAAATCCTTTCTCTCACTGAAAATTTGCTTCTTTATTTCATTATATTTGTCTTCTGATTATTACACAATTTCTGAATTCATAAGCTGTTCCATTGCCAGAAAAAATGCATCTAATACTGCAATGACTGTGTGAGTTCTGGCAGATGTCCAGTCTTAGGAATGACAGAGGTCAAGCATTCAAAATGTTGTGAAGAAAAGATGGTGACACCCAACCCAGTGTCACTTCGCTGAGAGGACTGCCATTGAAGCCATTGCACGAGACACTGAAACACAACTTACAAGAGGTGGACGTACCTTGTGTTCTGAGATTAATTTGTTAACAATGGAGGAGGGAATATTACACAGGCTTAAGTCAGTGGCTCCCATGGATGCTTAATGGGGTGGGAGATTTTGGAATAAATTAGATAAGCAAACACAATGTCCCCCAGTCAGCTGGCCTGCATGGGGTAGAGAGAGAGAGAAGTCTGGAGACGTGTTGAGATGTGCAGGAGCAATGGCTCACACTGTCCTGGCTTGTGTTTGAATGCAGGGGATTTTGTTTATTTGTTCTCACATATTTAAAATAGTTAAATAAGTAAACAAGTAGGGACACGGGTGGAGGGAAGGTGAGAAGGGACAGAAGACTCAGATCGTGAGTCCTGTGGCATCTGTGGCATCTGTGGCCTGGTCACATCGGTGCCTCTCTGATGCCTTCTAGGGTTTGGGTTCATGTGTCCTCTAACAAAAGATTTAAAAGGTAGAAGGTGGTTAGAGCAGACAGAGCCGGTTTACCTGAGACGGCAAGGATGACACGCAGAGGGTCTCTCATGAGGAGGCTGGCTGAGCTGGGTGGCCCCTGGCTTGCCGAGCCACGCTCCCCCCCGCCCCAGCTTTGGGCTGTCGGCTGCCCGGGCTCTGACCTGGTGAAGTGGAGACCCACTTCCTCCCATTACGGGAGGAAGCATGGTCCTTATCTCCCCAACCCAGGAACAGCCGTTGCCCTCCTCTGCAGGCCCAATGATGCTGATGAACATGAAGAACATGAAAAAGTATATAAAAATGAAATTTGTACTATCAGAGGAAGAAAGGGAGGGGAAAAATTATGTCCTTGGACTTTCAAGGAGGAGAGAATTATACTAAAGGCTTTATAAATAATGCCCTAATTTACTATCAATCTTTACTACACAAGCCCAAGTGCCATGTTTGCATCCCCATCACTTGTTCTTATGTCTGCCCCGCTGTCTGCCCTTTCCATTGGACCAGCTTTGACTCTGAGCCCCGGACATGTCTTTTGGGCTGCGGGGAGCCACGCTGCATCAGAAAGTAGCAGTGAGCCTGTGGCCTCCATCTTCAGGGCATGGCCTGTGTCACAAGGAGATGCTGGGCCCCCTGAGGGAGTCGCCCAAAGCACAGTGAGATGTCTGTCCATCCTCCTGGAGGCCACAGCATGCACTCTGCCTCTTGTGCAAGAGGACCAGTGAGGAGGATCAGAGAGGAGGATTATAGGGAGGATCAGGGGGGAGGACCAAGGGGAAGGATCAGGAGAAAGGGGGGAGCTGTGGGGGGGCAGGGGGAGAAGGTGT